GAGGGGGGGGAGGAGAGGAGGAGGAGGAGGAGGAGGAGGAGATGGAGGAGGAGGAGGAGGGACGGAGGAGTAGAAGAGGAAGAGGAGGAGGACGAGGAGGAGGAGAGGGGGTCGCTCGGCGAGGAGGAGGAGGAGAAAGAGAAGAACAAGGAAGAGGAAGATCTCGAGCCTTGAGCTTCAACCCCCAGCGAATTCAAGAAAACCCTTCGAGGATTGCCGAGAAGGATCCCAAGATGACCCCAAGCATTTCTTCGATGTTGTGTCAAGAGAAATAAGCAATAGTTTGAAATGTATCAAGCGAAATAGATAATAGTTTGAAGATGTCTCACATGAAATAAGCAATAAAATGCGGATAATTCAAGCGAAATAACGATAGTTTTATGATGTCTCAAGCAATAGTTTGAGGATGCCTCCAGCGAAATAAGCAATAGTTTGAGGATGTTTCACGCGAAACACAATTAGTTCGATGATGTCTCAAGCGAACTAAGCAATAGTTTGAGGATGTCGCAAGCGAAATATGCAAAAGTTTGAAGATTCTCAAACGAAACACGCAATATTTTGAAGATGTCTCAAGCAATAATTTGAGGATGTCTCCAGCAAAATAACTAAGCAATCGTTCTCCTCTCCTCTTCTACTTCTCCTCTACATTTGTTCGTCTTCCTTTGATTTTCATTTTTTCATGTTAAACATTTTTTTTTCTTTTTTATTTCTATATGTTTCTCTTAGCGTTTGTTTCTGTCTGACTCTCTATCTCTTTCTCTATCTCTCCCCATGCGCCTCTGCACTTGTTTATCCACGGAAAGTGAGGCACATGAGCTACCCTACACGAGCACTTAGAAATTTTAATGTTCATAAAGCGTTTGTAAATAAAATTGGATACGTTTGAATCTTCAGTTTTTTTGTTTTATCCTCCCTTCCTCTTCTCTTTATCATTTTCATTTATTATTCTACTTTTCTTTTTAAATCTATTTTCTCTCTTTAGGTCCTTCCTTTCTTTTTCTTTATGATGTCTCTCTCTCTCTCTCTCCATGCCCCCCCCCTCTGAACTTTTTAATCCCTGGGGTTGATTATCCATGGAAAATGAAGCACATGAGCTACCCTACACGAGCACTTAAACATTTTAATTTTCATAAAGCGCTTGTAAATAAAGTCTAATACATTTGAACTTGAGATTTGTCCTTCTCTTTCTCCTCCTCCTCTTTTTTTTTAAAAAAAACTTTTGTTTTTGTATATCGCTTTCTCCATTCCTCCGCCCGCCTGAACTTTATTATCGCCGCGGTTGGTTATCCAGGGACACCGAGGCGGATGAGCTACTCCCAGGATGTCTCAAGCGAAACAAGCATATACTCGAGGATGTCTCAAGCGAAACAAGCATATACTGAAGGATGTCTCAAGCGAAACGATACGTTCCTTAAGGATGTCTCAAGCGAAAACAGCAATTGCTCGAGGATGTCTCAAGCGAACCGAGAGGTTCGACGAGGATGTCTCAAGCGAAACGAGTGATTCGTCGAGGATATCTCAAGCAGGCCACTAGCCACTGGCCTCCGGTCGCAGAATCGAGGTTCGAGACCGCTCGACACACGAGGGTCACGAGGATCCACGGGGTAACGAGCAAGATGTTCCCCACCGTTCACCCTTACTCCTTGGTGCTGACCTTGCGGATTCAGTCGTTTGTGTGGGGCCAACGGATATTCTCCAATCGCTCCTAACTGGCTCGAGCCAAAGACGGCACGCTTCAACAAAGATGCTCGAACGGCGTATCCAACAACATCTCGCAACACGAACAAATATGCAAACGTATCATCAACGACCCCATACGGCAAGCAAACGAAGTTGAGCAATCCAGCTCGTTCTGCAAAACGCCCCGGCGTCCTGATTCGCTCCCGAACTATAGCGCGCCTGCGAAATATTGACGACAGGAAGGCACTGCAGGAATGCACGCCTGGCCTCGAAAGCTTGAGCTTCTTGTCCTTATCCATGCGGCCAACGAACGTGGCGAAGGATGGACCGAGGGGGCAAGGATGCAAGGGTACCCTTGGGAAGGCTGCCCATCCTCACTATGCGGGTTGACTGTATACCCATTGGTCGTAAAAAGTGGTGAGGAGCATAAAGCAGGAATGCGTTGAAAATAGAGTGGGCTTCCGGCCGCCACCTGACGACGAAGGAAGAGGGAAACGCGCCCGATCATGGAAGCAAGAAGGCTCCTAGAGCACAGTGGGATCTGGGAGTCCGCAAAAGCACCTGCGTTCACTGACCCAGCGGTACTCGGATGCGATCAGAGAGGGAGCGGCAGTGGGACCGAGTGCAAAAAAGGTAAATTGCGGCACAAAGTAGGGGCACGACAAGGCGACGCCGCCACGAGGCGCCAGGGAGGGTCCTCCCCGTGATGCGTCTCCCCCCCCCCCTCCCCCTCGCCCGAGGAGTCTCCCGTGTCCAGCTGGGAGGGGCGTCGTGGACCCCCATCGCAGGAGCTGCCCCCCCTGGCGGTGGTGGTGGCGCTGCTGCCTCGCCTTCTGGAGCGCACGCTCACACGGATTGGGGATCCGTGGACCTGGCGCCCCCGAGACCTGAGGCCAATGCCGCCGAATCTGGCAACGGACGGCGCCGATCCTGCGCGAAACGACGGGACGCGCCGCGAAGCCAAACGCCCTGAGACATGTCTGTGCTTCACTGAAGACGGATGCGAGGCGGGGACTTATCCACAACATCTTCGGGGACGACGACAGGTGGCGTGTATGGATGTGTTTGCCCCCCCCCCCCCCCTCAGGCCCACATATGACCATGTCTGCCGCCTGCCGAGGTCCATGAAGATCGACCCCCCAGGCGGTGGTGTTTTATGGACAAATCCGCGCCTCGGAACAGGGTTGGCGGTGGACGGGCTCGACGTGGCATTCTGGAGGACTCCGCCTCGGCGGGTGCCTGGCAGCCGCCTGACTCCTCCGCGCAGGCGGCCCCAGAGGATCGCAAGATTCGGACCAAGTTACGACAATCAAGCCAGAATATCAAAGCACGTCGATACATGTTTGTTGCCAGTGTCGGGGTGACGGTTCGCCCCTTGCGTGGTTCTGCTGGGCCAAACTGACTGCTGACGACGTGCATGCAAAAGGGTATGCGGGGCCCGACATGGGATCCTCATCCAATGTCGCCCCGTGTCTGGCCCTCCCCAGAAGTCCAACACTTCCGCTCCACCCACCTCAGAGGAACAACACATTGCAGAAGCAGAAGCTTCCAGAGGTCCGAGCGGATATCTTGGATCTTCGGTGAACCCCCTCTCATCCCTGGCGCGCGAAGCGCGCCAAGGTCGGCGCCAGATGCGCCGCCAGGGAGGGCAGCTCAGATCAAAGAAATCTGCGCCGACCTGCGAAAAGCTGTGTATGCAGTTGTTGCTTCTTAGACTCCTCCGCCCATCCCTCTCCTCGTCTCCTTCTCTTTTCTCTCCGGCCCCCCCGGTCTCCCTCGCGGATGGGACACGTTGCGTCCACGATGAGGTGGCCCAAGGGTCAACCCAGAAAGGATCCACCTGAAGAAGAAAAAACGTCAGAAACATAAACTTTTGGCGCTCCGCGCGGATCTCTTGGATCTGCGCTGGACCCCCCCCCTCCCTGCCGCGTGGAGCGCGCCAGGGGCGGCGCCCGAGGCGCCGCCGGGGGGGGCCCAGCACGGATCCAAAAAAATCTGCGCGGTGCGCCAACAAAAATATGTTTATGCCGTATGCCTTTTTTTCTTCTTCGACCACCAAGTCCACCCCGGGGGCTGCCAACGCTGATTGACGCGGTATCGGACTGCACTTGCCGCTAGGACCGCCAGGAGCGAAGTTGCGGGGCGTCCAAGAGGGGGATTCGAGTAATCATCATGCTGCGAGACACTGGCGCGGCCGAGGGGGGGTCCAAAGGACGGATTGAAACCCGCTGACCTCCGCTTGCCGGGGGTGAGAAGGCGTGTGACATGATTGGCTGTCCCCCTCCCGCAGGGTCCAACATCTCGTTCAAGGGGGGGGGGAAGGGGGGGGGAGAAGGTTTGGGGGGGTATCCAGGCTCCTCGGCGCACCCCGGGAGACTCTTGAGTTTCCAACGAAGACTTTCCAAGACGGTCCCGAATCGCGGAACGATTGGCCCAAGACGCCTACGATAGCTCCAAGACGCCTATAGACGGACGGCTTCGAGACGCCCCAAGAGCCTTCCCAAGACGGCCCCGAGAGGCAAACACCAATGGTTTTCCTCAGGCTTTGACATTGTTCTGGGGTTATCGTCTTCTCGAATAGCCGACGCTACAAAGACGGCCCAAGAGGCCCCGTAGACCGCTCCAAAACTGCCCAAGAGGCCCCTACGAAGGCCCCAGGACGGCCCAAGAGGGATCCAAGAAGGCCCAAAAAAGGCACCGAAGACGGCCAAATAAAGCCCCAAGAGGGCCCCAAGAGGGGCGAAGAGGGAGAACACGAACATAACATCATCTTTCCGCCTCCAAAAGACTCAAACGGCACCAAGGATGTCCCCAATGAGCCCCAAGAGGCGCCCCAGAGGCCCAAAAGAGGCCCCAAGGCGGCCCTCAATACGCTTCAAAACTGCCTCCAAACGGCCCAACCAAACCCCCAAATGGTGCCCCAGAAACCCACGACGCCTCCACCGTGGGCTCCACGCCTCTTCGTGGGGCCAGCGGAACGGCGCAAGCCTCTTGAATACCAAGATGGGGTCACGATGGTCGGGCCGATCTTATGGCCCCAGCCCTGGTCTCCCCCCTCTGGCCATCCCCCACCTCGACGCCTGGTGGTTTCGGCTCATAGCTCGTACCTCCGTGCGCCGTTTGGGCCGGTCTGAGCACCCCCGGAAAGCCCTCGACGAGGCGCAGCTGCTGGCAAGCATCCCGAGGCGAGAAAACCTCCAAGAACCAACGAAAACTGCATCCTCTCGCGGAATCACCCATCCCTTGCCGCCCCCGAAAGGATGGAAGGGTAAGAGAAACGCACCACTTGGCCCCCAATGAATTGCCGCAAGGCGACCGTATCACACCCTTGCGCCTGGTGTCGATGGCGTCGAAGAGAGCGCCGTGGCCACCAGTACTGCAGGTTCGTGCTGTGTCGACCCTGGCGTTGGTTCCTGACACCGCGCTGGATCGTTCAACCTTGAACGATCGGCCGTCTCCGCAACGTCCAATCGTTCAACATCGACCGATTCTGGGCCGCCGTCGGCGTTCAACGTTGAACGTCGGCGGCGGGGTCGCCGCCGGTCGACACGACACGAACCTACAGTACCCGTAAACTCCTCCCTCGAGATGAAGCCGTTGGTGTCCTCCGAGGCACATGAAGGGCTCCGATCGGACACGCGCTAACACGGATTTGGGAACCGTGGATCTGGCTGGCGCGTGGGTCGAGACATGAGACCAATGCCGCCTGATTTGGCAACGGAGCGCGCCGATTTTGCGCCGAAGCAAGGCCCGCCGCTAATCCACGCGCCCCAATGCATACGGCGGGGGACTAGGTCAGCGGGGGAGATATCGAACTGAAATCGGCAATGCATCCCGGACAGATCGGCGATGGGCCCCCGATAGCGAAACCGCACGTTCCTGGGCGGGCTGGGGTGGGCTACCGGGCCGCTATCGACGATCAATGGGTGATTGGGGGTCGATGCGTCCCCACCTGAGACTTCCCCCCCAATAATCCTCGTCGCCTGACTTTCGGGTCATGACTCGGGTCTCCAGCGGCCGTTCCGCACGATCCGGGCACCCCTGGTACGCTCTCAGCGAGGCACACCTGCGGGAGAGCACCCCGAGGCTGGAGCACGTCCAAAGACCTCGAGTCTCGACCCTTGGGAACGCCACCCGCCCTGAGCCCATCCCTATCCCCGAATAGCGTTGCCCACTAGTGCCCACTAGTCCCCAAAGAGAACGTTTGGTGCCACTCTGCCCATCCTCCTCCTCCTCCTCCTCCTCGTCCTCCTCGTCCTCCTCGTCCTCCTCCTCCTCCTCGTCCTCCTGGTCCTCCTCCTCCTCCTCCTCGTCCTTCCCCCCTCCTCCTCCTCCTCCTCCTCCCCCTCCTCCTCCTCCTCCTCCTCCTCCTCCTCCTCCTCCTCTCTCTCCCCCTCCTCCTCCTCATCCTCTTCCTCTTCACCCCGCTCTCCTCCTCCCAGTCGCGTCTCCTCCTCTTACTCCTCCTCCTCATCCTCCTCCTCCTCTTCACCCTGCCTCTTCCCGTCGTCGTCCTCCCGTCTCCTCCTCCTCCTCCTTTTCCTCCTCCTCCTCCCTCCTCCTCCTCCACCTTCCCCCTCCTCCTCCTGCTCCTCTCTCTTCCTCCCCTCGTCCTCCTCTCCTCCTCGTCGTCCTCCTCTCCTCCTCCTCTCCTCCTCCTCCTCCTCCTCCTCCGCCTCCCCCTGCCTCCCTCCATCCCTCTTCCTCCGCATACCCCTGCTGGTGCTCCCCTTCTCCCCCCCCAACCTACCCCTCGTCCCCTCTCCCTCCCGCCTCGCCCTCTTTCCCCTCGTCATCCTCCTCGTCCTCGTCCTCCTTCTCCTCCTATCCCTCCATCCCGTCATTCCTCCTCGTCCTCGTCCTCGTCCTCGTCCTCGTCATCCTCCTCCTGCTCCTCGTCCTCCTCCTCCTCCTCCTCCTCCTCCCCTCTCCCTCCCTACTCGCCCTCTTCATCCTCTTCGTCCTCCTCCTCCTCCTGCCCCCCTCCATCACTTTTCCTGATGAGTAGTTTATCCCTGCCGCCAACCCAGACGTGTCGGCAGGGCGGGCTGGGCGGGCCGCCCGAGACTTCCCCGCCAGTCATGATCGTGACATGGAAATCTGCAGCGGTTTCAAAGATGGAGGCGGGGTCCTTTTCGACACGTTGCGTTCGCCTTCGCACCACGCACACCCGTCTTACGATGTTGCACCAGTGCCAAGGATTGAGGGCGGGCCCCTTCCAACATGCGGCTCTCGCCCTGGTGACGCACAGGCTCGCCGTACACATTGGCAACAACTTCAAAGATGGAGGACATTTCCGTTTGAAAACGCGGCTCTCGCCCTGGTGACGCACAGACTCGTCTTACACATTGGCAACAACTTCAAAGATGGAGGAACTTTCCGTTTGAAAACGCGGCTCTCGGAATGCGGGTCCTTTTTCAAAGTATGGCTCTCGCCTTAGCGCCGCGCTCATTCGTCTTGCACGTTTGCAACAATTGACGGAGCACGTATCCTTTCAGCATGTGGATCTCGCCTGAGCGCCGTGCGCATCTGTGCTAAGATCTGCAGACGTTTCAAGGCTTCGTAGGGTTGAAGTCCCAGGGACGGTTTTCTGGCAAGAGTTGGACAGTCAGAACGCAACAATGATGTTGATTTGCGGTGAAGTCACAAGACTGGAACGAATTAGGGTTGCCCTGACGCAACCGTCGCCCAGGACGCAACCGTCGCAGTGATTCGCTGCGCTGAAGTCCCAATAATGGCTCTTGGGCGCAATGGTGGATTCTCAAACGATTGCCATTAAATGGAACACTTCCCGCAATGCAAATACGTCATGTCTGCTGGGAGCCTGTGAAGAGGAAACTTGGGGGGGTCATTGCAACATCGTTGATGGGTGTTGGGTTTGCACTGGTCCCTCCTCCTCCTCCTCCTCCTCCTCTTCCTCCTCCCCCCGTCCTCCCACTCCTGACTCCTCTTCCTCCCACTCCCTCACCCCTTACTCCTCCCCCTCCCTCGATCCCCCTTCTTCCTCCCTCCCCCCCTCCTCCCCTCCCTAACCTCTTACTCCTATTCCTCCCCCTCCTCATCCCCCTCTTCATCCTCCTCTTCCTCCCCCTCCTCATCTGCTTTCTCCCCCTCCCCATCTCTCTCCTCCTACTCCTCCTCCTCCGTCATCCTTCTCCTCACTCCTCCTCCCCAGCCCCCAGCCCTGCCTGATTTCTGTTCCGGAGGACCTGTCACAAGTGCTCTAGACTGTAGTCTTTGTCCGCAGGCGGGAAAAGTCCCAGCTGGACCCCGCCCTGAGCCCCGTAGTGGTGGCGAATCGGGCTCCAAATGAGCGAGCGAGGTCAGGCTGGTGGATGGCGCCACCACCGCCTGGGCCGAACATCATATGATGGGCCCCTCTACCAGCTGCGCGTCAGGTGGAGAGGTAGTGTCTGAACGCAGTAGCTCAATACCTCCACCCCTCCAAACCTAAACTATGTGAATACTACTCTCCTCTGTCCCCCGGATATGTCCTGAGAGTATTTCCCCCCATCCGCGTTGTTTGTTACATTCAGGATTCGCGAGACCTAGCTATGTCATTTTTCACCAAAAAAATGGCTCTCGCTGCGAGAATGTATACAACCCGAATGTTCACATTTGTTCAAAATGTGTTCTCGCTGCAGCGTGGGCGTTCAGAATGGCGCTCACGCCCCAGCGTGGGCCACTGGTGCCGCAAGCCTCACAAGTTTCACAGGTCCCACAGGTGTCGCAAATGTCGCATGCCCTACAGGTCCCAAAGGTCCGACAGGTCCCGCATGCCCCACAGGTTTGCAGGTGTCGCATGTCTCACAGGTCCCACAAAAGTCTCACAATTCTCACAAATCCTGAAAGTCCCGCCGGTGCCCCAGGTTCCACAAGTGTCGCAAATCTCACAGGTCTCACAGCGTCCAGAGGTCCCACAAGTCCCGCAAGTTCCCCAGGTCTCACAGGTGTCGCAGGTCTCCCATTCCCTACAAGCCACAGAATTCCACCACGTCGCACAGGTCCCACACGTTTCCCTTTTCCGACTGCGCGTAGCACGATGGGCTCTCTTGTGGAAGTCCAGGTCGGGTATGACACGCGTCCGCGGCTAGAGCAAATAGCAGCGCAAAGGGAAAGACGGGAGGGAGGGATATGATGTCAGATGTGGCGCGGGCGCACCGAGCTTCGTCCCCCTCCCTCTCTCCCCTTCTCTCCCTCGCCGTCCTCCTCCTCCTCCTCCTCCTCCTCGTCCTCCTCCTCCTCGTCCTCCTCCTCCTCCTCCTCCTCCTCCGCCTCCTACCAGCGCGCCGTCCTGGTCCACGAACTTGAACGCCGCGACCCACCTGCGACGGGCGGCGCTCCGTCAACATCCCCCCGGGGCCCGCCGCGGGACTGGCGGGGACGGGGCGGGAAGCTAGGAGCCTGTTTTTCTTTGGATTCGGGCAAGTTTACTTGCATGGACGGGGGGGGGGGCTGAGTCTGAAGCAAGCCGAAAACAATTCGACGTGCGGAAATCACGCAAGTCGAAAGGCGCTTGCACGCTCGTGTTCGATTGAAGAGGGGCGAGGGGGGGGGGTGGGGGGCGAACGCCATGCAAGTGAGCTTGCCTGGATATAAAGAAAAACAGGCTCCACAGGACGACCCTCGGGCACTGGAGGCAGGCGGGGCGCCGCTTGGCAGGGGGGCCACCGTCGCGTGGGAAGCCTCGTTGGCGCGGCCGCGGCAGCCGCGCGACGCCGCGGCGCCCACGCCTCGCCTCCCCGTCGTCGCGCCGCCGCCCGCGCCCCTGCGAGGGGGGCGCCCTGGCGCTGCCGCCCTGGAGAGGGGCTCCCCTCTCCAACCGACGCCGCGGCGCGCGAGACGCGACCGTCTGCGCGACCCTGGTGGTGACCCGGGTCTCCCCTCCCCTTCCATTGCGCTCCCCTTCATTGAAGGGGCCCTGGGACACACAAATAAATGCACACAAATAAAAATATCCCCAATATTTTTCCATATTTTCTGGGTTTTTGTCTTCCCCCTCACTTCCCATATTTTCCTATATTTTCCTGGGAGTGGACGATTAATTGTGTCTGTGTGTGTTTTTTCTCCTCCTGATTCATCCCCTCTCCCTCCACCCTGCGGCTGCAGGCCACTCGAGGTCCGCATGTGATGCCACCAGAGCCTTGCACCTCGAACCCATGGTCGCAGCACAGACGTAGCCGCACCGTTTTGCTCACCCGGATGCCGACTAGAAACGATGCCATCCAATCGGCCGCGTCCGCGAAGAGCACGATAACGAGGGGCACGAAGGAGACGACGAACACAAAACGAGGAACACGAACAAGACAAAACGAGGAGCCAGGACGACGACGAGGAGCACGACGAAGACAAAACCAACGCTGCCGTCCAATCGGCCTGGCCCGCGAGGACGGCGACGAGGAGCGCGAGGACGATGCAGCGAACGAGGGGAGGCCGAAGACGGACAGGGCGACGAGGATGACGTGGATGGCCAGGGCGGGGAGGGTGAAGAAACGCAGGATGGAGGCCCCGGCCTCCAAGGTCTTCACGCGTTCAATACCCCATCGGTCGGAAGAGGCAGGTAGAAACATGAAGTAGGAAGGCGCTGAAAGTGGATTGGCTTCCGTCCGCCCCCTAAGGACGACGGAGAAAGGTGGAACCACTCGACCATTGAAGTTGGAAGAGGCGGAGGCGGAGGCGGAGGAGGAGGAGGAGGAGGAGGAGATTGGAATCTGGGAATCCAAGAGTACCCACTTTCAACGACCGCTGGGTACGGGGCCCCGGGAGCCCTGGACCACTTCTGGAGGCCCTGGCTTTGCGTTCCGCCCTGGCTCGTCTCTGGACGGCCCTGGGGGCCAGCCGGGGGCTCCTGGACGCCGCGTGCTGCGAGACTCCACTGCGATGTTTTGGGAACCCCCAAACCGGGTGGTGAGATACCACGTGGCGACCTGGAATCCCCAAAAAGGTCACCGTTGGGTTTGGGGACGCGGGGTCACCACCGGGTTTTTGTGACTCCTGGACCCACCAGTGTCCGGGACATTCTCGGAAAACCGCACGAGTCCCCAAACCGGGTGGTGACACCAAATCGCGATGCTGTCCCTAACCCTCCTGTGGGTTGGGTCCTCGTTTTGAATCCGCAGCGCTGCGCGCCACCACCTCCACCACCACCACCGCCACTACCACCACCGCCACCTTCTCCTCACCTTCCTCCTCCGCCTCCTCCTCTTTTTCCCTCCTCCTCCTCCTCCTCCTTGCTCTGCCTTCCACATGTCTGCCTCGGCGCACCCCTCCCTCAAACGCTTCGTGCCCCCAGTGGGGGCTCCTTTTAAGGCCCCAGGGGCAGGGCCCGCATGGTTACCAGGCCCATGTCGGCGCACCCTCACACGTTTACAACCAGAACTCTAATCCCACCAGCCCTCTGGGCGTCGGTGGTTTAAGGAATTTCCTCTTCCACCCCTCCCTCTTCCCCTTCGGGGAGGGGTTGACCCCTGCGGGAGCGCTCACCAGCAAACGCCATGGGATGGGCCGGAGAGCACTCAGGCCGCCGCGCAAAGGCGTCGGCTTCGAAGCGGTGCCTCGGGTCACTTCGCCCTTGCTTGAACAGCAGTGGCGACGGAGGACAGGCGGCGACGTGAATCGCCGAGGCCGTCGCGCCGCTCTGACTGGGACGACCCCGCCCCCTCAGCGATTGCACGGCTCCCTGCACGCGCCCCCGTTTCCCGAGGGCTGCCGACAGCCCACTGGACCTCCGGGTTTCCCAGGGCACGGGGCCGATCGGCCCCAGGAACGTAGGTTTCGGACGACGCGGGGCCAGCGCGTCTCGGAACCGAAGTCCCTCGGCAGATGGATGGGGGGGCGGCGGCGACGACGAGGGCGCGCGGGGGGCGACGGCAGAAAAGCAAAGGGAGCAGGCGGCGCTGAGCAGCGGGCGAGGCGCGATATTTCTCACGCGACTCCTCGTGGCGACCTGCCCGCCGCCGCCCATTCCGAGGCTGTTTAAATCGAAAGCCTCCTCCTTCACGATTCCCCCGGAATCTCCCCGAGGCGGCTCCCCAGCGCCAGGCGGCTAGTCGTCGAAGGCGTCGTCCCTCGCGATTCGCCTGGAATCTCCCCGTGGCGCTTCCGCGGCCTCAGGCGGCTTCTCGACTAGTTTCTCGACTTCTAACGCCGTCCGCCCCTGCGTCCGGCCTCCGTAAATCTCCCTCCATGCCGCTTTGATCCGGCTTGCTAGGACCCTGATGTCGACGTCATCATGCGACGTGTAGGGCGCCACCGCGGGCACGATCTTGGAATGGATCAGCGTGCGCCTCGTCACGACGCAGGCCAGGAGTTCCAGCAGCCACGGCCGCGCCAGAGGTGCACTGAGCTTCTGGCTGCCCCCAGCGAGGGCCAAGCGTTCCCTCGCCCGGATCAACGTGTCGGTGTAGACGCGAGCGGCTGCTGCGTGCGCGTCAGCCAGCGCTGCTTGCGCTGCCGGCTGCTCTGCTTCCCCCAGTAGATCCGCTGTCTCCGCCTCCTGGGCCTCTTGTTCCTCGGGGCTCTCCGACAAATCCTCGTCGTCCGTGGAGCTCGCGTCGCAAAATGCCGACGCGCGGGCATGCGTCTTGTTCAGCCACCAAGCAATGTCGACCATGCGCAGCAGACAGGGCGCGCCGAGACGCTTTCTCCTGGATCCGGATAGCCAGTCAAGGGCGCTCCAACCTCTCTCGGAAACCGCCTGTGAGGACTTCATGGTCAACAGGGGCTTGGCCAGGGCAAGGAGCACCGGGGACATCTCCTTCTTCACGTGGAGCTGGAACCATGACAGAGGCCTCATGCGAGCAACATTCTGCCACACCACGGACTTTTCGCCGCCTCCGGATACAGCCGCATACGGCCCTGACTTGGATATCAACTCCTGGCGCTCCTTGAGGCCGTCCGCGGGGGGCAGGCGGGCTCGCGCGAACACTCTCTGCAGGCGCGTTTGCTCCTCTGCCGTGAATGTCTCCAGCGTCGAGGCTTTGATCACCTTGGGCTGCGGCAAGTAAGCCACTCGTTCCAGGTCGCCGATGTGCTTGTCACGCCGGCCCATGAGTACGGCCTCGAAGAAATCTACATGCTGTGGAACGTGTGGGACTAACTGCTGGAACGCTGCCCCCGCGCTCACCTCCATGTCGTGCCAGCAGCTCAGCACCGTGCAGAGCAGCGAACTCGTGCAGTCCAGCTTGCGCAAGCACACCAGAATCGGGTTCAGAACCTTCAAGGATGAAGCCAGACGCTGATCGAATCTTCCATTGTCGCCGTGCAGAAGCGCGGCATTCTCCTCGCCTCGGGCCCTATCGCCCTGCGAAGCTCGTTGCATGAAAAGCCGGTGCCTGCAGAGATACCGCGTGATGTCCTGGATATCCATGACCCGGTTCGCGACGAGCACCTTGGAGGCGTGGACCTTCGCCTTGTGGTGGAGGTAATACCGACTCCGATGGTGCGCTGGAAGATCACGAAACGCAGCTGCCTCTTGCATCCCGCGAAAGTGGAGGGCCTTGAGACGTGGCCGCAACAGGAAATATTGGGAGATCTCCAGAGCTTGCTCGATCGGCTCCACGACCTTGCGTAGCTCAGCTGGGGCCGGCTTCTTCGATGTCCCCAATATGTCCTCAAGGAGCAGCTCGCAGGCGTGCTCCTTGCACCCCACGTGCGGGAACCACGCCCCGCCAGGACTCGCCTCCACTTGGGCCGCGCTAAGCACCTCAGCAGACGCATTGTCCGTGGTCGCACCGTGCACGACGCCCCCCATGTCCTGGACTCGCTTGGCCCAGGTTTCCAACTCCGCCGTCAGAGCGGTGGCTTCCTTGCTTCTTTCCTGCAGGTCGACGGTCGCAATGTGAACGGCGTGCGCCTCTGGCTCGGTGACGAAGAAGCAATTCCGGAAAGAGGTGTTGCCGTGCATTGTTGCGCCGTCAGTGCTGATGCTCCCGTCCTTGTGGTTGACCAAGCGCCGCTTCAGTGCGTCGATCTCCGCGTGCAACGGGTCTATGCCCCTGACCAGCACCTTCCGCGACGGGACCTGGTACTGCTGGTTCAGGAGCTGCAGCGCCTGCGCGGGTCGGGGCCGAAACGGTCGGGGAATCGCCAATCTCACAGCTGGGGGCTGTTTTGCCGGCCAATGCTTCTCCTGCAACCCCCGCGGGCAGCGACGACCATCCCCGCGACGCCCGCGGCCCAGACCCACATGGGTCGTTGAAGCCCCAGGGGCGTCGATTTCGGAAGACGCCGGCCCCGAGAACACGGAATCCCACGGCCCTGGGGCCCCATTGTCCTGGGGGGGGGACCTCGCAACAGAATCCACGTGGCGCCTGCACCAAGTACGGGTTCTCCAAGAATCGAAACGGAACGCCGCCAACTATGAACGCCTTTAGCAACAGCTGTGTAACGGTGCCCGCCTCGGGGAAGGGGTCCGCTGCTATCGGGCGGCCACCGCGACTTCCGCTCCTAGGCTCCTCGGTCAAGCTCGGGGACGGCGAGCGCGGAGCCGATTCTGGAGGTTGGATCCTGGACCGCTTCGGCTGGG